TCTAAGTGCTATTGCCTTACACATGCGACGGAGGACTGCACCCTCAAAGCACTAGCCACTATCCCAGAAAGCAAGGACTCAACTTCAAGAACTACAACAATTCCTCTTAGATATCAACAGGCTCAAGGAATGGACACTCCCTTAAACCATAGAACGTACCAGGAGCGGAGGGATCAACACGGTAGGTTGTTTGGAGAAAGACCATCCTCCAGGAGAGCAAACCCTACCAGCCTTTCAAACGGGTTAAGCAGACATACCCCCTATTCTTAAAGAGGAAGGGCACAACCCCAACAGAGAACGATGGTGGACCCTCAGACTCTCCACAGATCACAATACATACATCAAAGAAATGGAGAAGAGGTGAGATCATATAATGGAACAACCTTGAGACAACAAAGACCCCAAAGTAATCAACTGCAGTGGAGACAAAAAGAACCTGAANCTGAGAGGATTTCTTCTACTGTGGCTGAGACACCTAGCCAAAGACAGCCTTCTCAAGAAAGAAACCTGAACCAGGTTAACATCCCTTCAACAATTCCTACAAAAGAGAGAGTCTTGGAAGATTTGATGGATGTTACTATTGACTACTGCAATGTTTCAAACCCTATTGAAAGAGCAGCACGACAACAAAGGGTGTTTGAGGGAGAAGCCAAAGGACTAATGGAGACAACTGCTATTTCAATCATTGAGGCAGCAAAAGCGGGACACCTTCAAGCTAGCTCTACCCACCACAGGCTGAAAAAGGACATACAAAACCCCATTTCACAGGACCTGCCACAATCACGGGAACATGAGACAAATACAGTGATGATAACAAAGAAAAAGAGAGGAAGACCTCCTCTCAACAACAAAAATGGTAAAGTTGCAAATCCACTTCTTGGTGCCAACTCTCGCATGAGAAAGACTCTCCAACTATACAAGTCCCCAAAGAAAAAAGGATTTCCTTCACCAGCTAAAATGGGGGAGACAAGGGAGGGGAATAATGAAGAGCCAAACCCCCAGATGGGATCAAACAGAGCTTCTACTAGTCGGATGGCACCACCCATAAGAATCATCCCTGCAATAACAAGGCCTCCAACAGTCAATAACCAACATCACACAAATGAAAGGAACACCAGTCTACAAATAAGGGACCTGAATGAAAGCACTGAGCTAACCCCTAGAAGGAGATCTCACCAAACAGAACAAGATCAAGCAACACAACCTCAAGGGGCAGTTACAACCTCTACACCTACTAGCTTAAATAG